TTCTTCTATAAGAGCGTAAACAAAGCAACACAAATACTTAATGGTCTGTGGTTGGTATTAATGTGATCTCTTAAATTATTTTAGTTCAGGGAAGCCTGAACTTGCCTCAACAAGTCTGTAACGGTCTTAATGATTAACTAGTCTGACGACACATAACACCAGAGGTCTAATGTATAACTGTCATGTGTTTCCCAACCAGGGGTACTGAGCCAATTACTCACAAATATTCAAGTTCAAAAGAAATGTGGAATTTAATTGTAATGTTGTTGTTGTTGTTGATGTATATATCAAATAACATAACACAAAGATTTGGCAATATATAAATACATGTTGGGGGACACTGTTTATGGGAGACGCAAGACAAAAAGCTGTTTTTAACCCAGAAAAGTAGCTTCCAAAAGGGCAAACATTTTGAGATCCCTGTTCTGAAACTACTACCGGATATATCATATTAAGTGCAACCCCCATATTTTGGTTTACGTAAAATGTTTCTCTCCAAATATAACGGTTTTGTTATTAAAGGATGGCTCTAATTGTGTTTTTAACCTATGTTTGTGCAGTGACTGAGAGAAACAACTTGGCCATGATTAAAAGTTTAAACTTCTCTCCTAATATGGGCAGTAATTAGTATATTATAGAAATAGAGCATCGTCAAAAATAAAGGCCAAATCTCAATATTGTCTAAAACTGCCACTATTCATTAGAAGAAACAAGAAGTCTGACTAACACATTACAGTATGACATCTGCCTGTTCTGTCACAGACACCTTGACTCTAGATTAATGATGCACAGAGCAGGTTTTCAATGACAATACAGTGACAAAGTACCTGCTGAAATCAGAATCAGAATCATTTTTATTGCCACGTAAGTAACAGGAGGTCACAGACTTGGAAATTGCTTTGGCTCAGTGCAACAGTCAGAAAGAGATAATAAAAATAAGAATAAAAAACACTTCTAAAGAATACATTTAAATTTAAATTTCATCCAATGCCAGTGAAGGGATACAAATTGCATTTATAATAACTCAAAGTTGAACGACATTATATTTCCTTATTAATTTGGAAATGCTCAACCAGGATTTTGGCTTCCAGGACAATAGAGATCACTCTGACAAGCATGAATCGCTCCGTTGCAAAAACATTTATGAGAAAACTCTAAATACAGCTCTTCAAATATAACACATATGCCCATTATTGTCCCATTGTTATTTCAGTATTTGCATCAGGAGCAGTCGGTTGCCATCATAACTTCATTTTGCTTGAGGCGCACGGCCCACAGTGTATCGAATGATGTCATAGAACAGGTCTCCCCCTCCTCTCCCTTTTCCCTTTTTCCTCGCATAAAGAACAGTGACTCAGGCTTTTCCACAGCACTATTCTGACACACTAACCCACACACTGGGTCATACCGGCAACCAGAGGACGCAGAGATCGGGCTAAGGGTCCCCTGTCATTTCCTGTTATACATTCTTCAGATGATTTATTTATTTGTTGCATTCTTGAGAACTTAAAGGTGTATACACTCATCAAAAAACAACTCTGGGTAAAGTAAAACCATTCCCCTACTTGAGTAAAAGTAAACAAGTCCATGCTTTTATGTACTTAGAGCCAGGGGTATAAAGCTGGCCTATCATAAACTGCAAAAACTGGAGCCGTGTAATGAAATCCTTGCTCTTAAAACACTTTGGGTTGATCAGGTTTTTCGGAGATACATTTTAACAGAGATGACCCTCACTCAGCCAATCCGCTCTGTGCCCAAAGATTGACCCAGAAGACACATTTCCCAATGGAGATGAATAAAATATATTTTAACCTTAACCATTGTCTCTTTCTGTTGTTAGAAACAATGTTTATTATTCATTAGAAACAAGTTCTCCAAGCTTTCAGTAAATAAATAAATAAATGCATCTTGCAGGTAAAAGGTTACTATTTTAGAAGTATTTCATTCACACACAGAATGTACAAATCAAAACTGCAAAACGCATACTGTTATTATAATAATGAACTTTGAAGCATGGCTAACCACTTGTGTTAATGCGACTAGGAGTGTGACAAATCGATACTTTCTCCCGCGATCGATTATCAATATGCATTTGCCAAGTATCGTTTTTGAAAAAAAAATCGTCATATCGTGATATAATTGTTATCGTGATATAATCGTTATCGTGATATAATCGTTATCGTGAGCTTTGTATCGCGTATCGTATCATGAGGTACTCTTAGGTTCCCACCCCTAAATGTGACATTGAACTAACTTTGTGGTTCGTACTTCTCTGTTTGGTGTCTTATGTTGTGTTAGCAGAGGTTTTTAAAGTAACTTACCTATTACTGAGTAAAAGTACAGATATTCGTTGAGAAAGTAAAATTCACTCAAACTCAATAGATATGATGAAGAAATACTTACTTTAGCTGCGGTATCTAACTAATGGAAGCTTTTTATGTGCACTGGTGGTTAAGGTAAATACAGAACCACTCGCCAAGTTAGAAATGACAGACAAACAGCCCTCATTTCAGATCTATCTACCGCAAAACTGTCAAACCAAAGTTGCAACAGGCCGTTCCTCTGCTATCCCACAAACTTCCAAGTCTCCGATGAAACCAACACTTCCAAGTCTTGGCAAAAAACTCCACTGCACCTCATCAAGGAATATTGCCCCCGAAAGATTTGACCTTCATTATTTGGTAAACTTGCCACTTTTGATTTGATAAAAATGTGGTAGAAATACTGGAGATGGTCAGAGTTTTGTTGTAAATAACGTACTTTTAGCCAATTGTGGCCATGTAAAATCAAAAATTTCACTTTGCGGCAATATAAACATGAATAGGTTAGAGATAGCAATTGTTTAGCACAAACTGAATTCAATAATAAAGGCACAGTCCATGGCACGGCATAACTCCAGTGAAGCACTTGTACAAGGTTTTATGGTACTATTTAGTTGAGCACATATTCAAATGAGAGCATGTCCTGGGACAGCTTTAGCAGTGATCTCGGAGGACGTTTGAGCACATGAAGGCAGCACAAAGGCCACTACAGGGATCGTGAGCTGGGATTAGACCGTGGTGAGACTAGTTTTATCCTACTGATGATGTGTTGTTGCGATAGTAATTTCAAAAGTATAATGAGTCTAACGAATTTCTTGCTCTTGCTTTATCACTAGTTTTCACATGTTTCTTTTTGCCACAGTCAGCACTCAGTCCCAGGCATCGAATAGTGCCCGCAGGGTTCATTCTTATAAGTAAACCAAAAATTCAGGTCTGATGTGTTCACAATGTTTTACTTTCACAAGATTTTTGTGAAAGTGAAATTGTGTTGGGTCAAACAAATGTTTTAAATGAAAAATCAAAAGTTAGGAACCCCAGCTGTCAGCAGTAATACTTCTATACGTGGGATCTGGGCACACTGGCTAAACCTACGCTCCAGAGCCTCTTACGTAACGTCTGGTGGTGAATTTAGCACAGCAGGACTATTTAAAACTCTGTCTAGGCACGTCGACAAAAAGGTGGTATACTTAGAAGCAGCGGTGAAGGGTGAAAGCAGCTATACTGGGACAGACACAGGCTGGGTGTGGACTCAAGAAGTGTGGCAGATATTTTGGGTCCAGTATGAAGAGCAAAGATCACATATGGCTGCTGCAGGTCTGCCATGCACACTGACACACTTACATGATCTATTCACAGATCCCTCAGATCCATCCAAAAGGCACTCTATACTCTCAAGGACAGAATTGGGCAATACATAACTTCAGCGCAAAGTTGTTAGTCTGAATAGAAACATGTGTTTAGATAAAATGTACGTACACTTAAAAAGACGTTGCAGAGAGTACTTTGTTGGGAAGATGGAATCAATGTTAGTTAATATTTAACTGGCTGAGTGCTCTTTCTAGTCAACATGCAGCAGGAGTGTGAAAGAAATGGATACCAACATTTTCAAATAAAGAAAGTCCAATCTAAAGTCAATACAAAACAATATGCTCATACAACACAAAACATACACAGATTTTTTTTTTTTTCACTAGATACAGTTGTTTGTGTTGTGTTTTTATTGTAATAATCATAAAGACTGGGTATTTTGTCAGAGATGTTATTTTCACATGCCACAATCCATACAATATATTTATACATAATGTTATCTGATTCAGTTAAAGAATTGACAAAATCAAAATAATATTTTCAGATTTTCCGAAAATCAATATTGGATCAAATTTCAAAATATCAATACTTATCTAAAAATAGCATCTGTTAATTGTGTTCTTTTCAATGGCAAAACGTGTGTGATTGGATCTGCATTGTGCAATTCAACACAAAAATAATAGAATACAGGGCTCTGATTAGTTTCAACTCCATTTTTTATTATGTCTCATTAGATCTTGGGTCGCGTTTTATCCAGGCCTCCATCTGAGGACTACATTGATCTATTTTAACAGAATGTTTTTGTCATACAAGTCATAAGTCACATTTCTAATCTTAAAGAGTGAACACAGGCCTAATCTCATTTTTACAATATTTTTTTTAAATAACAGATTTAAATTAATCCTTTTAATTTTAATGGTTTTTCTTAATTTTTTAGGATACAATACTAATTTAGGGTATTTTTCTTCTCTAACCACTGTGACGTGTAATTTTAACCTGAGGGTATACACAAGGGAGCTATCGAGCAGCCCTTAGCTCATATTCACAAAATGCAGATATAGGCTCCTCCCACATCCATGTAAATTTGATAAAAACAGGCGTGGGAATTCATTAATCATTATTATTAAGTTATTCTTCCTCCAACATTACATAACTACTGTATGTATTGTAATTACATACAGTATTATAGATGCACATGTATCTAAGAATGTATGTTAAAGCATGTTGTATAATCTACAACCTGAAGTTAAATCAATAAATCTATCAACCAAACTTCATTTTGCTCATATTTTTTGTTCCTAGATACTGCTAAATGGTTTGTGTGCGCTGCAGCAGACAGCCTTTAGGAGCGGCAGTATCTGATTGCTCCACATGCTGCTGCTTTCCTGTCTGCTTATCGACTGCACCATTATCCTGACTGATACGGCGGAGTGGAAACAAGGCAAGTCATAAAAGATGGCAATAATATTATACAAATAGTCCCTTTGACTCACCACTGTTTGTCATTACAGTGAAGGTAAACCGTTTTATAACTGTGACCGCCAAGGAAACTCAGCTCTGTCACTTCCTGTTTGGTTCTGCTATCACCGGGAAAAACCAGGAGAACCATGGCAGGCACTTGGCACCATTGTTCACATGTTGTTATACTTTTGTTCAGGATTTTGATGTTAAACAGACAGACAGAGCCAAGCAACTGTATAAAAGATAGAGGACGACCAAAATCAAAAATAGAACTGAAAAATATTTTAAAACGATGTGAGAAAAAGGTGGAACTTCTATAACAGGCGACCTTTTCCAACCTTTTTCCCCCAGAGAGCTAATTTCCCAGGACGATAAAGGCAGAGAGCTACTTTCCCAAGACGATAAAGGCAGAGAGCTATACTTTCCCGGGACGATAAAGGCAGAGAGCTATACTTTCCCGGGGCGATAAAGGCGGAGAGCTATACTTTCCCGGGACGATAAAGGCAGAGAGCTATACTTTCCCGGGACGATAAAGGCAGAGAGCTATACTTTCCCGGGGCGATAAAGGCGGAGAGCTATACTTTCCCGGGACGATAAAGGCAGAGAGCTATACTTTCCCAGGACAATAAAGGCAGAAAGCTATACTTTCCTGGGACAATAAAGGCAGAGAGCTACTTTCCTGGGACGATAAGGGCAGAGAGCTACCTTCCCGGGATGGTACAATTTTTATGAAATATTGGTGTGAACAAGTCTGATATTCGGTACAGTCAGTGATTATCATTGCATATTTATTACTAGTGTCAAAGTAGTGCATTTACAATAATAACTATAATGAACAATACAATATGAAATACATATAGGTATAATATCTGATTTTTTTTTTTCATTTCTAAATCCTTTAGCGAGCTACCTGGAATGCGTTGGTGAGCTACTGGTAGCTCCCGAGCTACAGGTTGGAAATGCTGCTCTATAGAAAGACATAGATAAATCGTCCTTATTGCAAGAACTCATGTAGGAATGCTTTTTAGAGTTAATAAAGGCAAAAAAGTAGTGGTTAAGTCTCACATCCTAGACATGTATGCTACAGTCTGAGAAATAATAATAATTTAAAATATGTCACTAATAGGCAACTAAAGTCACCTTTTTGATATTATGTGGAGAAGGTTACTTAACTTTATGTACAAAATCCAATTTCTCAGAGTGTATAATTTTTTCCATGATCAAGTAATGGAAAAAATATGATTCACAATGTTCATTATCCTGTATTCAAGACCCTGATGGAGAAAAGAATGCACTCAAGTACTGTATGTCTGGGGCTACGAGCTTAACCGGCTTACGTCAATAGTGTCACTGGTGTCAGTAGTGTCACAAGTTATAATCTCTCATCACTGAAGCGAAGGCAGACTTGGACGGACTAAGTTTGATCCGAGTGGACCACAGCGATCACAATTTATACAGGATTCCTCTCCCTGAGCTGTGTTTGGATACTGAATAAACCACTTCTGCACATCTCCGTTTGAATTCCAGTTTCCTGCCTCTCAGCCCCATCAGTTTATACAACGTCATTCAGTTTCACCAGTGCACACTCTGATATACTCTGTACTTGATATACACTGAATTATTCAGGTCGAGAAGGGCCGTCAACTTCAGCGAAGCGGTTTTGACTTCTTTCTCTAAAATATGGAGAAAAACGACAAAACCTTAAAGTCTGGATGATCATTGGTTGAAATATAAATGAACTTTTGCAACCATCACCAATTGTGGCTTTGGTTGGGGATTTTGAGAGTAAAAGTCCCCAGAACTAAATTTAGCCCTGGTCACTGTGATAGCGGGGGAACTTTTTTTGTGTGTGTCTGGCCTCATTTATACGGCAAAAGCAAACTTCAAAAGGCCTCTTGTTTAGTATAAGGACAGAAACATATAGCAAAACAGCACATCTGCTCTCTTTCCACCCATACACAAACCAGCATTGTTTCCACTACAAACGCTCTACAGATCTGCCGACAACGCACATTTGGACACTTCTGAGGCCGAGACGAAAGCGGCTGCTGCTGGAGTTGACATCGTGAGGTGACTTTGGGAGAACTAAGTACATTAAAGTTATAAAAGATTTCTTATTTCTCTCAGTGTTCCGCATACACACGTACCCTGATATGTACACTGACACTTATCCATGCCCATACAAACATACATACATACACACAAATACATACACACAAACACATACACACATGTACGCATACACACGCTGTCACACACACACATACAAGTACGCCTACGCTCATACACACACTTATACATACACATACTCACACACAAACATACACACATACACAAATAAACATGCACGCAACATTTTCCCACTGTGGGACGAATAAAAGATCTCCAAATCTAAATATACATACACAGTCACACACACCTATACAAACACATACACACCTACAGAAACAAACATACACACAGTCACACACACACATACACATACAGTACAGTCACAAATACACATACACTATATCGAGTCTCAAACAGTATCAATGATTACAAGAGCAATTTTTCCAGATATTTAAATTCACAAATTGAAATATATCAATATGTGGTTCTTAAGTTGCTTTTGACATTCAGCATTGTCGTTATAACAGCAACACAAGCTGAAAGAAATCACATTTACTTCTGAGGTGTTCTGTTATCTGACATGACCAGGTGCTTACTTTTTAAAAACACTGTTCGACACGGAACAAAAATAAATGATTAATGTTCAAATGGGTTCAAGGTAAACAAACATGTGTCAAATGTGTCGAAGCACTGGTCTCCTCCAAAACGAGTGTTTTAAATGTGTCAACTTTTTTCCAATCATTTAAAAAAGACATAGTGTATGTTGTAATTGGGTATTAGACGCTTTTTAATATTGTCATAAAATGTTTTGGTCTTTGGAATGTATTTGGCTATAGGCTACTTGCACTCAATGCATTAGGCCCTGTGGCTTAAGCAAACATTGAGATTTATGTCCTGATTTTCACTGTCAGTGGGGGTCTCAGAAGCCTGGCAGTTATTTTGGACTTGATATAAAAATGTAAATTAAATAAATTGTCAATACACTTTATCATAATAATAATACTAATTAAAATTTGACTGCAAACATTGTATTAAAAAGCAAAACAAGCAGATTCTGTAACTTATCTTACTAAGCTCACAATTATACATATACACAACAGTAGAAAAATATACTTTTCCCAATAACTGTTGCTACTATGAATGTTTTATATTCAGTTATAATTAGAATGTATAACAATCAGACATGTGCTAGTGTGCTGGAAGTGTCTTCATGCACTGTACAGAGACTAGAATAAAAGTATCCCTCCAATAAAGTTTGTTGTTACACTGGCAAAACCCACGCATTTCTTTCTATTGCACTTTATTCTGCATTCCTACAAAGTTGCATGCAAACAAATCACAGCGTGTATTTATTCTTATAGTTAGAAGAAGTTTTGAAATGATATAAGTCTCTGTAATCTCCTGACCGCTGCAGCGCCTCTAGTCCGGCTGCTTCTCTCCGAGTGCGCTCCATGCCCGGGTGCAGGAGTCACTCAAACCGTGTCTAAACTGCAGCCCAGAGACGTGACAGTGGACAAAAGAGAGACCACAGTACCTGCGCGATGTCATGTCAGTCCAGAGTACCGGGTCCCTCCGCAAAAGTGCGCTTTCTGTGTTTGCGGAGCCGCTTAGGAGAGTCCCAGACCAAGAGGTGCGTCAAGCCAGCGTGCGTCAGGGGCAGACCTGGGCGATCCGGAGAGCGCCTTCACAATAAGATAAGATAGACATTAGAGGAGAGAATGTGGGCTTAGTTTACGCCAGAATCAGACTGTGGACTTCTACTTTGAAAGGGGAATGTCATTGTATAAACTCATGAATAAGGACAAAAATTTACTTTGTGAAATGATTCGTAGGCTGGGATTATATGTGGTTCGTGCTCCTGCTAAATACACTACACAATACAATGGAATTCATTCTTGAATATCCCTAAATCGCAACAGAAGTCATCTCAGAGGACTTAACAAAACCATTGAAATCACCAACACAGATCGGAGAATCAACAGTTAAAACACAAAAAGTATATAGAACACATATTGAAAAATGTCCATTCATGTTGTAGAATGTTAAAGTGTCCTGGATCATCACCACAGTCCTTCTAGTTGGACACTAACTGCCCAACAGACCCTCCTGCTTCGGAAAGGAAAAACCCAGTGGGAAAAAGTGAGAAACCTCGGGGAGACCCACAATTGAGATAGGGATCCGTTCCCATGGACGGACGGGCTAATGATCCAGGACCTGAGCTACAGAACGTGGACCAGCGGCCGCAGAACGTGGACAGGTCCGGTACAGGACTGAAGAACTCCCAGGCGGGTCGGGCAGGACAGTCCGCAGGTGTAGATGGAAGAGGCCAGGTCCAGAGGTCCCGTCATCGTACCATGGAACAGACAATGGGACAACGGGTGAATAGCAATGAACAAACTACAGTCAAAATCCTAATAATGCTAAACAGATAAAGTAGGAAGGAGGAGAGGATAGTGCTAAAGTTACCATACTTCTCCCGGCAAACTGACTCCCTACGCAGCTTGACTGACAGTCGAATAAGGCCTACTGGTGTGAGTCAAAGTTCTAGTGCCTGGACCATGGTTTTGATTTGATGAAACGACCTAATCAAGCATTTTTCAACAGCATATCTGCAAAGAGGCAACTCCCCTTCACTCTGTAAATCTATTGTATGTAATGTTGAATGCAGGGACGTGCGGTGAGGTTTGTGATTGGGGAGGCACTGACTTTAAAAGTCAGATTTACAATCATTATTCAAATAAAATAGCATTTAATCACCAATGCAATGACATCCACAAACTTTATATACTGTAAAGATAAGAGAACCAGCTTCTTTTAATAATCTCACAACAAATCTAGCTGCTGACTCTGCTCCGCATCAAACAACATCTTTAAGAAGCGCAGGTGCGAGAGACGCGAGGAGAGAGAGACGCGAGGAGAGAGAGACGCGAGGAGAGAGAGACAGAGAGGAGCAGAGAGACGGAGACGCGAGGAGAGAGAGACGCGAGGAGAGAGGAGCAGAGAGAGACAGAGAGGAGCAGAGAGAGACAGAGAGGAGCAGAGAGACGGAGACGCGAGGAGCAGAGAGAGACAGAGAGGAGCAGAGAGAGACAGAGAGGAGCAGAGAGACGGAGACGCGAGGAGCAGAGAGAGACGGAGACGCGAGGAGAGAGAGACGCGAGGAACATAAACAATAATTTAAACAAGTTGCAGAACTCTTGAGCAGTGTTTGAATCAGTGTTTTTCGGAAAAGCACTACTTTGCCGGTATCTGTCAATGTTCAACATAAAACACAGATTAACAAACTCCTCCCCCGCAGCCGGACTAACCTCGTAAGTCCAGTGGTGGTCTCCCAGTCTATATTAATTCTTTCTTTGTTTGAAAGTCCAATTGAGAAAAAAAATCTTCATTCAAATCATCCATTTTCCAGCAAAAGAAATAGCATTTTGGGCTGATTGTTTGTTAGCAACTCTGGTATGAACTTTATGCTCACTATCACCCCTAGCGGTGAGGCACAGATACCGCCTGCCTCACGCCAAGCTTTTTCCTTGTGTGTTCATCTACGATCAAAAGACTTAAACTAAATATAACTTGTACACACATACGTGCAATACACTACTAAACACTAAGAGGAGTTTAAAAAATGTTTTTAAAGCAGGATATTTGAAACAAACGGTGATATATCAACTGCACGAGCTGAGTGCACTCAGACACACACACACACACTGTGAGGGAGCGGTCTGGGGTGAGGCACGCAGGAGCGCTGCCTCACCTCGTCTCTTTGAATAGGAATAACGGGATTTCGGCGATTTTGACTTCAGAAATGATCAAAACTGATGGGAACCGTGCCGAATATACATTAAAAGCATAGGACAGTGGATATAAATTATATATTTAAACTAAAATAATTATTAGTTTCCAATAATGGCAGGTGAGGCTCTGCCTCCCCTGCCTCCCCTGACTGCACGTCCCTGGTTGAATGTGATGTATGTAATCTTTGTTCATAAACATTTTTTTTTGCATTTTATTGATTTCATGATTTGATTGCAGAGGGAGCAATGTACAATAAGAGGGAGGAGCGATTGTACACGGTTTTAATAGGGGACACAAAAGCACTTGGAGTAAATCACAAACATAGGGAGAACATGCAAACTCCACTCAGAATTGCCTTGGGTGGAGGTGGAATCAAAACCAGGACTTTCTTGCTAACCACTCAGCCACCATGCCTCCCACTTTTACTGTTGTTATATAGCTAAAAGTTTGGACTAGACTTGGACTGTTAAATCAGTTCCGTTTAGTCCACTCCTGCCCAGGACCACATCTCTGGCTTCTTCCCCAACCCGTGTCACTTCTTTGCACTGCACACAGTTCAAACATGCATCTCCAGTCACTAGTTTTCAAATACAGAAAACCCCCTCCACCTCCTTCTCCAGCCCAACACCATCATTGACTTCAACACCAGTGTTTGGACCCCAGGGGATATGAGATTTCAGATTTCATCTCATCATTCATCTCCCTCCAAGGACACCTCGTCCTTTTCAAGATTGGAGCAGCAAATAAATGATCTAAATTCATGACAACTCGTAGGTTTTTCTGTCCAGATTGGAGCGCCATGGCATCCCAGGTCATCTTGTGTTCTAACGGAAATTCCATCAATAGTTTTACAGTAAATGTTTACATGTGCAAATGTTCTCACTTGTTCCTGCTGAACACACGACCTATTTACATGTATCCACTGAAGCGTAAATGTCCATCTCTATATTTATGTTGTAAATATTCCCACTTTCATGTCCTTCCATATGCAGTTGTTTTGACGTCAGCGGCTGCAGTTATCAGCCGGGGTTAATCTACTGTTATGGACTTATGCAACCGTCTGTGTGCCCAGGGCTGTGCTGCACCACACATATAGATCTGCTCTTCACTCTGTGGCCCCGAAATGGAAGGTTACAAGAGGCTGGCTGCAGGCTGGAAACGATACTTATGTGGTGAGTTTGGAGAACAACATGGGAATACATTACATTTGAATCGATACAGAATGAGAAGCAGAAAACTGTAGAATTAAACATGCTGTCCCCTATAGTGCAAACTTAGTGTCAACAATGTCCTAATGTGAAAGTACTCTACACTGGGGAAGAATAAAGTCCCAAAGGCAAGAAAACGTGATTGTGCAGTGATTATATAGAATAGTGACACAACATAATGCAATGGGGTTTGTGGTTTGCAGGAGACAAACACTTTGTGACCAAGTTCTTCTCATTTGTAAATGAGAAACTATTTTTGGAAGTGTCTCTTCTTAAAATGTAGAGAAGGGATCCTGGTAGCAGATGATGTCCCCTGTTCAAAACACATTCATTTAACTGAGGAAGTCATCGAGTCAACAGGTCAAGGTGCTCGGAGTGCAACACACAGGCCGAGTATCAGAGGTCCAAGAAAGTATCTTTGTCCAAAAAATCGTAAAATAGTGACCGAAGTCCAATTCAAGTCTACACCTCTAACATCCGGCTGCTGATCATTACACATTAGTTTGCACAACATTGGTTTAACACTAGGACTCCCAGAGCTGTCATTTTGACTGCTCCCGTTCAAATCTATTGAATTCTGAAAAATGACCAAAAAGATGTTCAGTTTTCCACCAGATCTTTTACCTTTACTCACTTTTGCTAAAAACGTGTTAATATAACATGCATAAGCGAAAACAACATTTGGAAGCCTTTCAACAAACTCTGGAATTAAACAGTGTGTTACAATGGTAACTGATGGAAAACCAAGCTAACTCAGAACCAGAACCAGTCCAGCAGCAGCCTCTTGAAAAAATGCCACACTGCCATAGAATGTTGGCAACCAAGAATCTGATCTTTACATCTTAGTAACTGTAAAGGACGAAACACTCACATTATAAACATAAAATATGTGTTTTATTCAAAAATAATGATTGCATATACAGTACAGACCAAAAGTTTGGACACACCTTCTCATTCAAATCATTTTAAATGATTATGAAAATTGTAGATTCACACTGAAGGCATCAAAACTATGAATTCACTCATGTGGAATTATATACGAACAAAAAAAAAAGTATGAAACAACTGAAAACATGTGTCTAATATTCTGGGTTCTTCAAAGTAGCACCTTTTACTCTGATTACTGCTTCACACACTCGGCATTCTCTTGATGAGCTTCAGGAGGTAGTGACCTGAAATGGTCTCTAACAGTCTTGGTCTGTACTGTAAATAAAGTATATATATATAGGTATAGAAAATGTCACAAAGTTATGTATAACGAGTAATTACACTTCCAAAACTAAAGGCCGTCAAATTGACAGTTCTGGGAGTTTCAGTGTTAGGACTCCTACTTTCTGTCCCAATAGACACACAATCAGTCTGACCTGCAACACAAACATTTCGAAGTGCACCACTTCAAACACATGCGTTGACAGAGCCTTCAGCGCAGTGCATTGAGAGGTTTAGGAGCCGTGAACTTTGGCTCCAGGAGCTGCAGCCTGACGTCCTGTTGCGTCTGAGGAGCACAAAGCAGAAGCAGGAAGTCTGACGCTGACAAGACAGGACCCAGAAGAGGTCACTGATCCCATTCCCAACCCCTGTGATCTCTGAACACATGTAGCACACTTTCAA